TTTTATACGGGGGACGGGGCGGGGGATAGGGCGGGTGTATGTTGCCCCATCCCCCGCCCCGTTTTAAGGTGGGGGTAAATATTTTGCCCCCGCCCCGCTCCATTTGTACCCCCGCGGGTGCCCGCCCCCATTGCCATCCCTACTTCTGATGAGTTAGAACAGGAAGCCTTCGCAGTATTAAGTATCCAAAAATAAAATGCCTACTCATTCAAAAAAAAAAAAAAAGAATTGCTTGATAAGTAAATCAAACTAGATGTTACTGAAATTTCTTATATTGTAACTAGTTTTCAATATTCTAATGAATAAATCTTACATACACTGACAGTACATACACTATTACGGTTGGATGTATGGCACATGAGCAAAATTTGGATTGTAATTTTAAATTTAGATGAATTGTCATATATCCAATGGCAATGATGTATATACTGTCAGTATATAAAAGATTAATCCTATTCTAATTAGCAAAACAACGAAAAATAAGGAAAAATACCCAAAACCAAACTTAATTTATATTGAATGGGGGGACCTCTGGTGAAATACAAAGCCAGAGAATATGAAAAAAAAATGAATATAATTTGCGAATTTTTTTTTAGTGGGTAAAAGACTGCACAAATTGTAAGCTCGTAAATTGCGGAATTTCAATATCAAAGATCAAATATTAGGTAATCGCTGGAGTATCTTTGAATATCCATGTATTTCTTAGAATTTATTTTCCTATTTTATTGTTGCTTGTTAGATCATGTTACCCCAAGACTTCTTGCTATGATCCTTATTCGATAATAATCAGAACACCACTTCAGGCATCCTAACCTAAAGTACTTTACTCACGTGCTATTATTTGATAGAGACAAATCAATTATTTGATAGAAACCTTTAAGCATTTCACTACCATTTATTCCATTAACTTAAATTACGTAAACAGCCATAGACAATCTCAGATAACAGGAATGATATTCTATATTTAAATTCTTTTCTTAATTTAACCGTTTGGAAAAATATTTATCACAAAATACTTGCATTGAATTGTTAAAATAATTAAACCTATACATTTTTAAGAAAGTGGACATTAAGGGTTCTAATCCCCCTTCTCTCGCTTTGCTTTTTAAATCCCACTTTTCGTCTTTTTCCTCATAGGATAAGAAAAAAGGTGGACAACTCTTCCAACAAGGAAACTTTACTTTAGAGATAATCCATTAATTTTTTTTTTGTTGGACAACTTGTAGTCATATTAGTGTAATGAATTATGTAATATTATTTGTTTGTTTAAAATTATAATCAAGTTACTTATAAGAGCACACGCACACACATATTCATACATACATATATTGACATTCTACAAATTACTAGGAATAAAATTTTTCCAAAATCTAGTATCTAAAACAAAAATATTGCCTTTGGTCATTGGGGGCATATTTGCAAATTAGTATAGTAGAATTTATTTTTTTTTTAAAAAAACCTATATTCTTACTAAGGCCTACACATTTGTGTGCCATTATGATTTTATGACTAATGAGTCTATATTCTTCTGTTTCCACTATGTTTTGCCTTGGAAAAATGCGAATGTGAATGATGAAACATCATCCACTATCAAATGTTGTTTCTAGTTTGCTCTTGTGCCATTCCATTTTGAGTGAAAATGATCAATGACTTTTTCAATGCATTTATTTGTTTGTTAAATAACAATTAATGCATCTCAAAGTAAATAAAGTTAAATGCTTTCCACCACTAATTCCAACATTTATGCTGATGATATATTATTTGACAACTTAGACGAGCTTTTTAGATATAGGGTGAAATGCAGAAAAGACCCTTGTGGTTAAGCTAACCTATAAAAAAAGTCCCCTATAGTTTTAAATCATACATTTTAGGTCCTTATGGTTTGAACTAATAAGAAATAGTGACGGAAATCTTCAAAAGTAACGGGAGCGGATGAAATGACACAATTATCCTAAGATATATATATATATATATATATATATATATATATAAGCAAAAAATCCTTCTAACAACTATCTTGGTTAAGCAAACCTACGCAAAAACCCCATAATTAAGTCAATTTTCCAAAAAAAGCCTCCTATGGTTACTAGTTGCCACCATCACTCTTCATTTTTTGCTGTCATCCTCTTTTCCATCAGCAACTTGCTCCTCTTCCTCAGTGGCGGAACCAGGACCTTAGGGTTAGGAAGGTCAATTTTCGGCATCATATCAAATATAATCATAGTAAATTTACAATAAAAAAGTGCTTATGTTAAACATACTTTCTTTTAAGTCAATTAGTCTTTGACATCTAATTTATGCTATTATACAGTGGTAGTTTAGTAACATCAAAAGAGTTTTTTTTTGGATTTATATCAATAATTAACCTTAATTAGATCTAACACTTTTGTGAAGCTTAAGAATTAAGAATTCTTAATTTATTAAAGGTAGCCAATGTAAATAAGAAAGACACACTAAAAATTTTAGTGGGGACAATATAGATAAAAAAGAGAATTTCAAAAATATTGAGGGGCCAAGTTGAGAAGAATAAAAATTTTAAATATTTTAGGGGGGACAAATAAAGGTGTAACCATCACAATTTCAAATTAGTTTAAACCACAAGGTATCAGAGTGTATGTTTTGAAACTATAGGGGCTTTTCTATAGTTTCGCTTAACCACATGGATATTTTTGCATTTTACCCCTTAAGGGTATAATAGGTATATCAGTTGAAAATCTTTTTGTTTCTAGGACAAATAGTCACAAAAATGGTGCATGTACCTCAAACCCGTTAATTCAGATGATTTTTGTTACTTTTTCAAATTAGTTCAAATCATAAAAATACCAGAGTGTATGTTTTAAAACTATAGGGGATTTTTTAGTAGATCCGCTTAATTAGAGGAGGTTTTTTTTAAAAAAAATTTACCCTTAAATATATTCTCATTGTCTAACTATAAAGTGTTTCAGAATTATGATGTTTTACTGTAATTGCTTAACAGAAATTTTAGAAACAAAATAAGTACTAAAAATAACGATACGCTTTAAACAAAAAAAAAAAGAATATTCATAATGTAAAATTTTTTTGCAAGTCTAAGTACCTACCTATATTTTCGAATTACAGAGAATGATATCTTTGAATCTAGACAGGTGTACCTGCATTTCTCGTTTGCATTACACTTGCATTTAATTCCAACATAGACAAAAGAGGAAGGAAGATTAAAAAAAAACTTATTCCTCTAATTTTGTTAGTAAATTTTTATCGCACTCCACTTTTTGTTAGTCGCACTCCTACCATTTATTTTATCATATTGTTTAATAAATGAAAACTATATGATAGATATGATAGTGGGAATATGATTAATAAAAAGTAGAGTATCATTAACATCTCTCATTTAGTATAGCAGAAAAATTTTATATTTTTCGTGAACATATTTTTAATCACTTTTTTATCTGACATACATTAAATTACTATAGTATATTTTTCTACCAAAATTTCTAAAAATAGCAATCCAATCAAGACCCTTGGCCTACAACAATTTCTAAATATATAGGGTATGTACCCTTTACTCTACTTTTGGGGCAATGAACTATAAACACAATATGACACTAACCAGTGCACTGAGTTGGACTTTTGTTAGTTGTCCGAAGTCCAGAGAAAGTGCCACTTGCCATAATTGCTGATTGATCAAGTCCAGTTATATATTATATTTATGGAGATGGTCAAAACTACTTAATTCCTGTACTTTTCAACTCGTTATCAGGACATTATAGATCAAGAAACGGCCACAACTAAATAGCTACAAACTTCGGTTTCCAATATCCCACATCGCCTGGGGGGTTAAGGGGATGGGTAGTTAAGCTCCTGGGTCGTCGTCAAAAGTTGCCGGCTTTTGACGATTGGTTTGGGACTCAGTTTATTTACGCTTCTCTCTTGATTTCTCCAAGAAGTTGAAAGAAAAAAAAAATAGCTACAAACTTCTCTGTCTCCTCTGCCCATGATTACATCTGGTAGACTTTTGTTTTTTGTTTTTTTTTTTTTGTTGAGGGGGGGGGGGGGGGTGGGGTGGGTGTTCTTAATTCATTTCTTCTACAAAATTTTCTCTCTTTGATATTTTATTGTTCTTGTTTTCTTGTGGAGGTTTTCATGACATTTGTTTAGAGCATGGAAATCCCTACGTTTTCAATGAAATAATGAAAGGTATGACGGGCGAAAATAATAAACCTTAATAGCAATAGGAGAACAAAAGATAATAGTAATTATTTAATTTCATAATATATGTATTATAATATTTTTAACTATGATTAGTTTTGTGGCATGTATCTCCATTGAATTATTAATCAACATTTATTTTCTAAGTTTTTTTTGAGGGAGCATTTCCTAAGGTTTCAACTACTTTAGTGCTTAGGAAATATTCTGTCTTCTCTATTATGTGGAATTCTATTCTCATTAACTTCCTCCAATTTCAAATTCTTCTTTCCAACTTGTTTCCTTCTTGAAGGAAATAAACAATGAAGTTTTATTTTTTCTTTTTAAGTGGAAGGTCTTGAATTTACGAATTACGATGCCTTAAAAAAACTTCCTTAAAAAAAACTTTCTATTAACGATTCTTCTCATATTACTATCTAACCCAACCCTGTGCTTATAAACAATGAAATTGGAAATATAATAGAAGAATAAATGAAAAATACATTGGAACCATTAGAAAGGAGCCTCTAGATAAATTATATCACCCAAACACGATAAAAGAAAACAAAAGTAGAAACAAATAATCTTCACGAATTTATGAAAGAACATGCTTGAATATGCCTCCTAATTTATCCATTTTATGCCCATTTCTCCACAAGAAGATAACATACCAAAACATTGTGATGTAAAGATTTTCCTAATAAAACATAAATTTACTAAAAATTCTCATTTGTTCTTATTTTTTTAAATTTGTTATAAGTGACCATGTGTTATCCAACGTGGAAGTAGAAAATTTTTCTATAAGAAAAAAGAAAAAAGAAAAGAAAGATGCAATAACCAATATATATATATTTGTTTGCAGATTCTTTCCCTGCCGTCCCGACTCCCAACAAACTCAAGAAAATATTACAGTTGTTATGGTTGAATTTCAAATCCAAATAAAACTGCCTTTCCTTGTTTGCTGCTGTGGACTTTTCCCATCTCTCTCTCTGTCTCTCTCTCTCTCTCTGGACACAGTCTGTGATTCCAAGTGTGCGAGCAAATCCTGACAATCCCAGGTGAAACTTTCTCACACTTTTCTTTTTCAGATCTTTCATTTTTTTTCTTTATTGTAGATTCGATTGTTTTGATATTTTCAGTGCATCATCATTTCATTCATGTTGGTGAATGATCTTTGGAGGGCCATTCATGAATTCAATAAACTTCTGATTGATATTTGTTAGCTGTTTTTTTGTCTTACTTTGAATTTGTAATTTGGATGGAATCATTTGTCCAAACTTTCAATTATTTGAAAAGGGTTCATGTCCAATGATAATTGTAAGTTAGAAAAATGTTTCTTCTTTAGTTTATCTGGGATTTGCTGGTTTTGATTCAAGAAATGAATTCTCAAAAAGATTGGATTGTTTATTACCTATGTACTAAGAGATAGACATTTTCCAGGTTGTTGACAAGGACTAACTTGGTTCATGATAGTGGCCTGTTAAGAGAGCAATGAGCTACCGTCAATCAGCCCCTGGGAGACCAACTTCAGGTATGATATAATTCTTTCTGAAGTTTCATTCAAGTGTGGTTATGTGGATTAGTGCAGTTTTACACCTGATGTTTGATGCTATGTACATTCAGTTTCTTATCTTCTGATCGTGACACTTTAAGTCTCTTCAGTTTATAGTTTATGCTAATCGAGGACAAGTAAGAGCTAACTTCATGCATATTAGTCACCGGTGTTCTGTTTATATAGCTTAGCTGCCGGTTCCCCTTAAATGGCAAAGTTCAAAAAAAGTTTTCACGTGAATGTGTTGAAACGCATTGGCGGAAACTAAAAGTCCTAAACACTCAGGGACCAAAGCTAAAAGTTCATTCTTTTAATTAGTTCTTTTGTGCGTCTATATGGAATTTGAGACCTCTGTTTTACTTCTGGTTTCGCCCATAGAGGAGTGACTCGATGAGCTCATATTAGCTGAAATTGCAATTTTTTTTTACCGTGCACAAAATTTGACATTTGAATCTTGCATATCAGATTTAAAGATCTTTTGCTTATATTGTTGCTTTATTGCAATTCGACATTTAGGTGTTGCTACTTGCTTTCAATTTTTTAATTTTGATGTTGTGTTCTTGAATTTTGTTTACTTTTTCCAGAATATAACCTGGATCTTAAAATCCTTTTGGATTCAGTAAGATCAAAGGGGGTAAGGTGTGATATGTTGGGAAGTTTCAAAGTGAAAATTTACCTTGATCTAGAGCGGAATCTGATAATAATTCACTTTGGGCAGAACTTTCACTACTTTTAGCCATTTTTGTGTCATACTAGTCTAGCCATCCTACCGTGAAGTTAGACATGCTAACAGTAGCCCTTGGATGATCAAATGTAAAGGCCTGACCTATACCGGTCATGCAGAGTTTTTATTTTTACTTCCTCGGCCAGGATTTATATAACTTTGGATCATGTTTTGCCTTATTGGGGACAAGTTTTTGGCTCAAGGCTTGTGATTTCATCTTTGTTGACTTGACAGGTAAACGAAGATTAAACGACCTTTTGCTTCAAAGAGATAATCGTGTTTGTGCAGATTGTTCCGCTCCTGACCCTAAATGGGCGTAAGTCTTTGCAGCTAGATACCTTCAATTTCTGGTAGTTACTACAGTACTAATTTTTTCGGCTTGCAAATATTAGGTGTAATAAAGTTTATCCGATATTTGCACCTTATATATTTCATTTTAGATATTACCCGTTAGCTTGTGTTCTAATTTGTTTTCATCTTTTTTGCTCATGTTCATCCTTTTATCTTACTATGCTGTGAAGAAGTTATAGTTGCACGCAACAAAGAGTAGGTTTGCCTGTGAGAGCAGTGACATCTTCATTTTTCCTAAAACTCCATTGCTTTTCTGTGCAGTTAATGATTGTCTATAGTCTTTGAAATGAAAGTCAACATGCTTACAGCCTTGTGACTAAAATCCTAGATCCCATTGCCCAAAACCAAAGTTATTTTAACTTGTGTACTTACACATGAACTGAAGATAACAGAGGCTCTAAAATAAAAGTCAGCATGATTGCTGTCTCGTTGCTTATCTTGTTTAAGTACATAGGGAGAAAGAATTGATCTTTGATCACATTGTCCAGAACCTATAATTTCTATTCAGCAATTTGAACTTCTGGTGCCTGATATGATGGTGTCATACCCATTATCGTTTTATATGTAAAGGGAGAGGAAGGAGTGCGGTGTAAACTTTTTTGGTCACTTTTTGTTTTTCCTTATTTATCCTCCCACTAAAATGCTAATTGGCAGAAACCTCCAATTAACTGCCAATAATTCTATTTCCTTTTTTGTTTAACAACACACCAAAAAAAAAAAATCGCACTACACAACCTAATAAAAGCTTTTAATAATTGCTTATTGTTTTTCCTTATAATTGTTCTTTTAATTTGCACACACATAGGGTGTGCATTTCCCACTAGTATGTAATTATACAGCCATTTTTTTCTTTGGGAAAAAATGTAATTTGAAGTTTCTTCTGCTGGAATAATCTTGGTACACTGCATCTTTTTACCTCTCTTTATCGCTATTGTCGTCTTCATTTTATTTTCCCAGCTAGAGATATGTGTTAAATTCTCTACTCCACAGTATCTTTGGCTGAAGTTAACCTCATGATTTTTGGATGTTTTTTCTCCTAGCTGCAAATGGATGTGGCCTTGGTCAAAGTAATGATCATACTTAATCTCAGAGATTCTCCTTTACTGGGAACAAGGAATCTGTTGAGGCTTTGTTTTATGTGTGTTCTCTTTTGTTTCCAAAATAATTTCATTTTGGCACGAATTTGTTTGCTTCGAAATGCCATAAATCCTCAACTAGACTGGTGAAAATCAATTTTCCTAGGTGGCCTGAATTTTGGCATAAGCATGTCATAGTTTTGCTTCCCAGTTCAAAAGTAGGTACTTGACTAACAGTATTAGTATGACCACACCAGATTAACAAATCTAGCTTTTCCCCCAAGGAAGGGGGATGTCATTCAGCTGAATGGCTTCAAGGTTGTTCTTATGTTTTAGATGGAACCTCGGAGTGTTAAATGCTAAATGTTTTAGGATCTTAATATCAACTGTAGAACAGTATACTTTTGTTTGAAGCCACATGTGATTCATGTGCCTAGGATAGAGGTCCCTATCCATCTCCAATTGGAGAATGTCATGGCAGCAACCCCAATAACATATTCGTAATGGTTATAGACTTCTAGTATTATAGATTGGACAGGGTAACCTAGTCTGAATAAACTTATTCGGCTCTCCAATTTAGCATCCCACTTTTATGATTGGCTTACACCTTTTATGTCAAAACTAGCAATTAAGACGAATCTATGGACCAACTTTTACCGGTTCTTCTTGACCAGTTTTTTTCCAGACAAAATTAATCCAATGGTATCTGGTAACAAAAGTAACCTAGCAGAGCACGCTAAATTTTTTCTCGGTTATATGAGTCTAATTATTTAGAGATTTTCCTATCCGTTTTGTTTGTGTTCTCCTTTCCACGGATATTCAGATTGTATAATGACTTTTCAGGTCGGCCAATATTGGAGTTTTCATATGCTTGAAGTGCTGTGGTGTTCACAGGAGCCTTGGTTCACATATCTCAAAGGTAATTGCTCTTGATACATTTCTTTTCCTCCTCTCTGGAGACAGATAATATATAAAAAGCTCAACCGTGATACACTAGAAACATCCCAAAATGTTCAGTTGTGCACGAAAACAAACACCTCCTGAAACCAGACAACGTGAGATATCGAGTGAATGTCTTTTGGAGAAAAGTCACTTTTTGTTGTTTGTTATAATATATTCAATGATCCAACTAGTTAATGCTAAAAGAGGCTTGACAAATGAATCTGTTTATCAATTAAAAGGGGAAGGTTTTCAGCTCTGAGATTGGTTGTTTTCAGTCTCCTTTTTTTTTTTTCCCAAAAACGAGTATCTTAATTGCTAGCATGATTGGCTACATAGTGGTACCAAGTTGGATGTACAGTTCTAAAGTCCTATATTTTGAAAAATTTGTGATATTCTGGTCATTAATTTACTGTCTAAGGTTTTCCCATTGCTCCAAGAGTAATGGTCCTAGTAAATCTTCCTCACTGATTTTGATGGAAATATTTAGACGTAATGCCATGTCAAAAGTAAAAAGGGCTACGAAACATGGTAATCACAGATGGCAGGAAGACCATAAAAAGGTTCTGATTCTTCTTCAGGAGTAGGTTAAGTTTCACTCTTGCTACTTGGTTTTGCAATTTTACTTAAATCAATTTTCATGGATGCCAAGAAAGGATCCTCTTTCTTTTTGGTTGGAGATACACTGTTTAAGTAACAGCCTCTGGAAAGCTTCATTTGGTCACTTCCACAGATGTAATTTTTCTGGAACAATAATCAATCAAGAAAATAATTACCTGATTCTCTTTAAATCACTTTTGTCCAAGCTATTTTATAAAACATTACATAGAGGTTTACATGGTTTGTTTTATGACCAAAAAACTCCCTTGAGAGTAACAAATAAATAATGAACTTCCTTTGGACAAAGTTTGAGCTGAATAAAACTTCTGAATAAAGCTTCAGAAGCCATTTGTGTGATGAATTTTTTCCTTAGGTTGAAAACAGTGGTTTGGGTCTTTTTCTTTCATAGCTTAGTCTCTTGTCAAACAGGAATACTAACAGATCTTTGGTCTGTCAAAGCTTTAAATCTCTCTGACTATCACATGCAGGTTTTATCCGTGACCTTAGATGAATGGTCTGATGACGAAATTGAGTCGATGATTGAGGTTGGAGGAAATGCTTCTGCAAATTCTATCTATGAAGCTTATATTCCTGAAGGAATCTCAAAGCCTGGACCAGATGCCACCCATGATGCACGTTCAAAATTCATTAGGTTAGGGAATATTTAAAGATATCAATTTGTATTTACTATCTATTTATGTAAGCCTTTTTTCATGTTAATTCAAGATATTTTGGTGATACCAGCTGGAGAACCCTTTTTGTTTCTCAACTGATATGAACTTGGTCTGGCTCTTAAATGTTTTATTTATTTATTTATTTATTTTATAGTTGTTTAGCTAGATTACTCTGATTAGATCTACAAATAGATAAAAACAGTTGACACATGGAGGCAACGTTTCTGCTGGGCACTTCATTTTTTTTTTTAATTTTCATTTTTCTCTCAATTTTGTAGGTCTAAGTATGAACGTCAAGAATTTCTGAAACCGAGTTTGCGTATCTTGTCAGCTCCAAAGTCGAGCTCTCTCCAAACAAGTCTTTCCAGAAAGATTATGTCTACCTTCAGAAGTGCAAGTTCATCACATGCCTCAGTAGGTTTTCCTAACTTGGTCGATGTGTCGATTTTTGTCCATCTAATATCTAAACTAGAATGGATTTCTAAAGCTAATGAAGTATTAGTAATGCTGCAAGTGCAACTTACTTGATGATCTCTTTCTTCTTGACATACTATTGTTGATGAAAAAGCTTTCTTTCATCCTGCCTAAAGGTAATTGTGCCTTGAATAGCATTTACCATCTAAAGGTTTGGATCAGAAACAATTTCTGTTCCTCTCACATTGGTGTTTCTGCTTAAATATTTGCAAAGGAAAATTGAAATTTTTGATATGATTAGAAAGAACCTATAGTTTTTTATGCGTAAAAGTTGCAAATGACAAATGACTGCAGTTGTTCTTCTAAATGCTTCTGAAAAATATTAAGAAAGTTAACGATTTGTACATCAAAGTCACTCGAGATTGCATGATGGTAGTTGAAGCTTTATGTATGAATATAACGTTCTTAACATAAAAAGTATACTCTGCAACTTGATATGGATCGTTTGGCAGCCAAACCTTTTAGCTCGTATTTGTTCTAATTGAAAGTGGATGATTCAGAAGCTGTCATAGGACTACCATAAAGCACATTCTTATTGGTTTTAGTTTGTGAACACTTTCAATATTCTTCTTGTTTCCAGAATTATCTTCTTTGCCGTTTTATTTTAGATATTGCAATCAAGGCACAGTAACACTTTCCTATCAATTTTCATAAGATGATCATTCACACAATATGAAATAAGAATGTAACATTTCTTGGATTAATAAATCATGACATGATAAATTGTGGTTAAATTCTTATTTTATTTTGTGAAAGTTATGAGCAGATTATGAGCTCTTTGGAGTTAATTTTAGTTCATTAATGTATTATGGGCAAATCATATTCTGTCAATCTTGCCGAATTTTTGGTCTACAGTCTCGGAATTTCGGTTTAATATTTGGCAAGGTATCGACGATGCCATTTTGAAGTAAGTGGATAATGAGTCTACTGGCAATTCTGGTCCTTAAAACTTGCACTGTCTGAAAACAAATTGGTTAACCAAAATGCATTGGAAACCTTGTTTATGTTCTATTGACATTCTCCCAAGTTTACAATCTCTTGTTTACCTCTTTTGTTATACTTGTATCCTTGGATGTGTTGTTTCTTGTAATTTGTACTGCATGAAGGGAGGGAGGGAGGGAGGGAGGGAGAGAGAGAGAGAGAGAGAGTGCAGAAACAGGAGAGGTGTGAGAGATAAAGGGATAGAGAAAGTTTGCAAGTATAGTTCTATTTCTCTTCCAGCTCAGTTAAGTTGGACATGACAACATTGGAATTGAACAAAAAGACACCAAAAGGTTGTGCACACAAATTTTTAATTTGGATTTAGTACTTTTTATTTTATTTTATTTTATTTTTTTAACATTCGTTGGATCTGAATGGAAAAAATTAACCATTCCATACTATTTCTAACTTTTTTTCTCATGAATTGGATCAAAATAATGAATGTTTATAGCTAGCATATCAAACACATCTGACTTCTCTAACAGGAACTTGGTCCAAATATTTTAGCTTATTAAGGGCTTTCTCATTCTTCTTCGTTTCTTAAACAAATGCAATCGGTGTGCCATTGCTAGTTGCAAATGTCAGGGTATAGTATTATCCAGATGAAGTATATGATAATTATGTTTTAAATTCTTCAAATTATCCGAGGTGCAAGATAATTATTCTTTAATCTTTTACATGGTCCCTTTCTAGTTACTAATGCTATAGAGATTTACCAAATTAAAAGTGGCAATTCGATTAAGGTAAGTACTTTGAAATTTTGGAATCTTTTAATCACTATTAGAGATTGTCAGGATATAGAATAGTAACCATTAGAGTGCTGACTGCAATCTAATGGTTTATGTGACCACTGCCTTTGTTGTAGCATTTGTGAGTGACAACATTCCTCTTTCATGTCCATAGTGGTTCAGAAGGATGCTTTCCTTTTGTGTTTTTTTTCCCCTATTTCCACCCCATGAAAAAGAATACATGTTAGTTCAGTTGAAAGTTAATATCTAATGGTTCTCTTTATAGTCAACCTGTGAACAGGATTCAAGTGGTCTGCCTTTTGGTGGTTTGTGTGACACTAATCTGCAGCTGATATTGAGTGTGTGACAGGAAGGTATGGTGGAGTTTATTGGGATGTTGAAGATTAAGGTAGTCAAAGGCACAAATTTAGCTATCCGAGATATGCTGTCAAGTGATCCATATGTTGTCCTGACTCTTGGACAACAGGTTGGTTGCTCTCTGTTCCTTTTGGATTTTTGTGACTGAAGAATATCATGTTAAAGCTTGTGAGTGTTTCCAGACTATTCAATGTATGATCATGCAGTAGTTTATCCCATTTCATTATGATATCACAGAATGTGTTGTACTTAATGTTGCAACTTGTCTGGATCAGACAATCTTGTTTATTCCTTGCTACTTGATGAATATGATGGTGCCAATTTCTTACTTGTATACATATATTTTTGGAAGGAAATAAAAGCGATGGTTCTTTACTATATTTTCATTTAGAATACAGTGTATGTTCGATTTCTGAAAAAGTCAGATGCTAAATGCTTTTTTCTTTTTTTCTTTTCCTCCCAATGTTTTCTGTGATTGATAATGCACTTATCACCTCAGATCTTAAGGGTATTCTTTTACCGTTTCAATTTTGTCTTTTGGTTAATAGAAGGCTCAAACAGCTGTTGTAAAGAGCAACTTGAATCCAGTTTGGAATGAGGAACTCATGCTTTCTGTTCCTCAAAATTATGGAGCTGTAAAGATGGTAATACTTATGCTTGCCTCTCTCTCTCTCTCTCCCGCTCCCTCCCTCCCTCATTGTTATACCTTTTTTCTACTGTACAGCTTCAAATGGTATACAAATATCATAAATTTACTTTATTTACAAAATTCCTATAAATCTTCTTTCAACTCCATATATATTTTCAAATATCATAAATTACTTTATTTACTTTTGTTTCTTGCTGTTTTGTGCTGCTTATATTTCTGGGAAAGGTCTGTAGTAAGGTGGCTTAATTTCCTTCAAGCTGTCTGTCATTGTTCTTCAAGTTACTAGTCATGCGTGCGTCACATGATTGTTTTTTCAATGCTCTTATTCTCTCAAACTCATGAATCATTGTACATGTACATTGAAGTTGTTTCCAATTCAGTTCATTCTGAAAGTGGGACATTTGTTCTGGAGTTTGATAGAAAGGGATGCATATCAGGCAGAATTTGTTGACAATGGAGTTATAATTCCTTCTCAAAGTCCATGTGGCCACTAGACCATACTTGTTGCCCATGTTTTGCCGCCATTATGTCTATTGTTATTATTGTTCGATGAGGTGGAATGTATGTGAACAGGCAGATGATGTACATTTTTATACTTCCACGTGCTTATTCTTTAAAAATAGTATGTATTCCCGCTCTTAAGCTGATGTTCTAAGTGTGTAAATAAATTTCTCTGCCATTTGTATGTAAATAAACTTTTCTGCCATTAGTTGCTTTATCTTTATGACACTTCCCATACAACTTGTGCAAAGAAGCCTTATTACATTTGCTGATGACATCTGAGTGTTAGTTTTTATAATTTCCATTTAAGCGGTAAGAATAACTTCAATTGTTTATCCAGGTCAAAAGTGAAAAATAATGAAATTAGTGTGGTTGTGTTAAAGGATGAGTGAGCAGCGAAAAACTGTGTTTAAATAGGGTCATTAAATCGAATAAAAATAGGAAAGTTGTGATAAGGAATTGGTCTCTGGTGTCTTAATTCTTCCAGCAAGGGTTTTTCGCTTTATCTTGTCATTTGTTCATTCCATTATTTTTTACTTACATTTTTTTTCTGCTTTGTGACTGCAGCAAGTGTATGATCATGATACATTTTCTGCTGATGACATAATGGGGGAAGCTGAAATTGATATCCAGCCAATGATAACCTCTGCAATGGCATTTGGAGATGCTGGGATGTTTCAAAACATGCAGATTGGGAAATGGCTGAAATCAAATGACAATGCTCTGATAGAAGATAGCACTGTAAACATAATTGACGGAAAGGTGAAACAAGCTGTATCACTCAAGCTGCAGAATGTAGAATCTGGGGAAATAGAACTAGAACTAGAGTGGATTCCGCTTGATCAATAGGTGTACATAATTTATTCTCTCCTGTTTGCATTCCAAAATGAACATACAGTAACGAATCACTTTTTGTTCAGAAATACACCATGAACACTTTGTATTTGTTGTATCTTGACTTTAAGTTTTGATCCTGGAAATATTTTAGAAAGTTCTTTTCATAAGCGGATCAAACAAGGACAGCATGTTCAATTTGAGCTCATACTGGCAAATAAAACATCTAATTCAACTGTTAATTTTCCACTTTGTCTTCAAGTATAATAAAGTGTTCAAATTGTGTTTCTGTACTGATAATATGTTGAAGTGTGCTATCATGGATTTTATGGTAGGAACCATTGAGACATCAAGAACTTGCTAAATACATGAGAAAACAAGCACTGTAATACAATCTTAGTTCAGGCAAGTTACTTGAAGCATATTGCAGATGATATGACATGGATTACATTCACATTATGGGGCTAATACCTACTATTGCATATATGACTCTCTCCTGATTTATTCATACATTTTTAGCTTTTCATGATGGCTTATTTTGGTTTGTATGAGATAGCATGTGGATACTATGTTATTAGTTTATGAGATGCCTCTGGATTCAGGCATATATGATAGATGGGAGAATATAATTATTTTGACAAATAGTTGTAGATAAGTGAATTTTATGGTGTACTGAATACACAATTAGTTCTACAAATACTTGTACAAACGTGAAATCTTAGCCTGCATTTGAGTACACAGTTCCACAAATAAGTGTACACACTTGGAACTTTTCAAAAGATGTGAGTAGTGACTTTCAGTCTGGTTGTTCTTGTTATATTTCATCCTTGACTTATTGTCATTCTTTGCCCATGAATTCTTGTTGAGAAATTAGTTGCAGACCGGTATTGTACTGGAATTTGACATGCCTCATGATGATTGTTTGTTGCAGAAATTTCCATGGTGAGTACAAATAGGATAAGCTTCCATTTTAGTGTTCATTAATGAAAGTGTCAAATATTTTAAGTTGAGCAAAATTTTGTATAAGGTGACCACTTTCTTCTGTGTAGGAGTTGTGTGCTTTTTACCAATAGAAGGCGTGATGTCTCTGAAATGACTCCTGTTTGGATTCAAGAGTTTTTCAAAAATTAGTTTTTTAAATATTATTAAAATTTTTAAAAAGTACTCTAGAAGATACTTTAAAAAGTAATCTAAAATTTTTTTTAATGTCTAAAAAATATCCCAATAAATATTCTAAAAACTCTTCTACTCTTAAATATTCCAAAATATTTTCTAAAAATATCTCAAAAATATACTATAAAAACTCTGCTACAGTAAAATTTTACAAAATACTTTCAAAAACAGCTAATCCTACAATGAACTTTGATCCGTCCAAACTCACTTATTAATAAGTGAATTTTAACTCACTCACTAATAAGCGAATTTTAGTATGCAATGAACTTTGAATCGATTTAGATAACTGATTCAATTAAACTGATTTGATTAGTAGGTGATGAGTTGACTCGTATTACTGATTTACACTTGAAAATAATTACATATTAAATTCAATTTTTGGAGAATGTTAAGCAAATAAATTTAAATTTCTTATCAATCCTACAACAATAAAATGTCATTATTCCTTGTCAAACAACATTCAGAAAAAAAAAACTTCAAACAAGTCATAAATGTACATTTCAAATTGTAAAATTTTTTTTTTTAAAAAAAAAGAGCAAGTAAAATTTCAAACAGGTCATAAATGTACATTTCAAATTGTTCCAATTACTAGAGATTCCAGTCTATATATCATGTTTAGCCGTAAAGATCACAAAATGCCAAAACATGTGACACTAATTACCATGAGAAATAACCATTGAATCTTCTAAACATGATCAAATTTGACTGGAAATACTGGACTATGATATTGGATAAGAAGCTTCTAGACCTATATGGAGGGAAAAATCCTGCTTTTCTGTAATTAAAGTTGAGGGAAAATCCAGAGAGGATGAAGAGCAATCTTCTGATACTCGTCCTGGTGAGAAGGGATTGAGCTCCTCTCCAGTAAAATTTTCCTACAATTTCCCTCAATAAATATCTGGATAATTGATATATGTATTAATATGATGTCAAAAGTTCAAAATCATTGTGTCTAACTATGGCCCATATCAAAAATTAGATCCAAAAATTTATTTGCCTCTACTATATTTGCCTTTACTAGAGGCAAAGGACACCTAGAGGAAAGTGAGAAAAGACTCAAAGTCCATCTTGTTCTTTTTATATGATTTTATGCAACAGCATAAAACAGGGCTTATAAAGAAAGCTAGTATGCTCAATTGCACCCTTTTTTTAAGTGTAAGTAGAAGGTCTTGAACGTGAAACTTCTTATTTATACTCCTTCTCCTTGTACCGTCCAACTGATCCCTTTCCCTCTATGCTCAATCGCACGCTATGTGACAAAAATTTCCACTTCTTTGTAACACTCCAAAGGGCTCAAAAGGATTGTCATTGCATATGGTGAAAATCATCTCTTTCTTCTGACCATTCTAGTGTCTTTGTTTGATCAAACAAAAAGATTTTAAAAAAAAATTTGAGGGTCTCCGGAAAAGAGAATGAGCATTCCAACCATTCGTGAGTAACCCTTGATTCCTATGCTTTATTTTGGCTGCTTATTTTGGCCTCCAAGATTCCTTTATGCTTGTTTCTGCGCAATCCTTCAATCATAGGACTTTCTTTTGTTCACCACAAAGACATCATTTTTCTATTGCATGGTGTTAAAAATGAGCTTTGCTTGTTTCTGAGATGCAATGAAGGATATTGGGTGAATGTCACATGTATCCAACCTTTTGATCTATAATACTACACAATCAAATAAGTTAACCTAATTTACTGTTTCATCTTCTGCTGGCCCTCAGACAAAACTTACAATGGTTGGGTGCAATTGAACTTGTGCAAATAGATATTAATGTGAGATTATCATGAAGCTAAATAGCCAATGATTTTTCACCTACATGCATTCTAACCAGTTGCCCAGGTCATTCTAGCATTACATGGTTTAAGTTGCAGCTAGAATTAACCACACCAAACATATTATTATAATTCCAGAAAAGAATACAAATATGTAAAAAGATTTAAAGGGAAGCGACACAAAATATTTTCACGGCGTAATAATCCTTGACAAGAGAAAAAAAAAAAAAGGAAAAACATAGGCTAGTACACATGCTTAACGCCTATCAGATGCCACCGATTCTGCAGAGAAGAGGTATCTCACACGTGAAAGAACAGAGTCATGGGCAGGATCATATGGATAGTCCTTGGAGGGGATCTCCAGAATTGCTGGAATTGGTTTATTGTAGCTATCAACCAAAAACCTTATCATGTTTGCAATCTGTGTAGCAAAAAGCAGAGCAAAGATTTAATAAGATTGAGAAAGGAACAAACATGACAAGCATGTATGATTAGGTCCCTATTTTAGGAAAACCTTGGAGTGAATCCCACAGAATGAAGACTGCTATCATTAATCAGCATGCCAAAGGCAAGACATTATCAATCATAAGTTCCATGTGGGGTACAACCGTGGCAAAGATAGCGTTAAACAAAATGCCAATCACATAGAGATCAAAATAACTCCTTTTTCCATGGCGACTGCCAATCACATAGAGATCAAAATAACAAAATGCCAATCATTACAAAATGGCGACTGCAGAGACCATGATATTAAAACACATCAGCAATTGGTGAACTAGAGCTCATAAAACATGCCATGATGAGATTTCAATTGCATTTGCTAATAATTTCACATGGTTATGGATATCATGGTATTGGAAGTTTTCGCTAGTTGCTTTCAAGTCCCATCGGCCAATTCCAGAAAACCATGTTCTATTTTGAAACTCCAATTTCTTTCAATACTTAGAGAGTGTGCTCCAGAACAATAGTGCTATTCTTACGTGGTAAGTTTGTCCTCTTGGTAGAACAGCATTTTGCCCCACCACCCATGTTCCATGACAGAAAATAAAGTCAACTCTTATAAGTGAGTCCTAAATTATCTTCTCGCATAAATAGCATAATATATGTCCATGTATCAAAACCTTGTAAAAAATAAAGTATTTATTGACCAACATTGGGTATACAAGTGGCCTTTCCAGAGTAACATCTGCAGCACATGACACTATTTTGTCCTTGAAAAACTTCTGCACTAACAAGAGGCTTTAGTTTGATGAGAAAGATGGTTTATTTCTACCTTGTGAACATATATGACACAAGAGATTGGCTTTCATTGTAATGTTTTAAAGCGTTTGAAATGTCTTTATAGATTACTTCTGAAGTAGTATCAACCAACTTTAGAAACATCCGCTTCAACACTGAAAATTTAAGTCTTTCCAGGCTTAGATTTCAAAATGATATTTTGCCGTGTTAAATCAACAAACATATTTTTCTTCTAAAATAACTAGGTTTTTTCATCCCATAAAACATCACGGCAGTCTTCAGTCTTATATTTAAAGTATAAACACATACACATTAACAGATCATTAACAAAATAAGTAAGCAGCCATCCACATGGCTATACACCCATGAAGCCCGAATACAGACCCTTCATTCATTGTTCAGTCTTACGTGTAAGCCACTGATGAAGCTTTTTCCCTCCCCTTTCTCTTTGAAATAGGAAGATGATTTTGTTTCATGGTATAGAAAATCACAATATGATCAGCGGAACTTACATATTGGCTTATCAACACCACAGCTACATCCTCTCTTGTCGTGAAGTCTTTGAATGCCTCTTCAATCTGTTTCACTGTTGTTTCTAAGAAAAAACACCAAGATCATTGATGAGTTTGTATCAAGATTGGCATAACCTACATTTTCTAAGAGAAAAACAATCCAATCATAATGTCAAATGTTTCTGACACAACCAAGAATGAAAAGTGAAAAGTTACGTGTGATCCAAAATTTCTTCATTCCACTTTCCAGAAACTAATGAGTGTTAACCACCTAGCACATTTCCTTAGCAAAGTAGTCACTGATTGTTCATCATAGCAGGAAAATCAGAGTGCAACCACCTAATACAGATGGGAAACTTTTCTTGCTTTTTGATGAACTTTCATAACTATCCTAAGTGGCAACAACAAAAAATCACGTAGCCAATGAAAAGTATCTGGGTGTTTGCCATACTAAATAAGGGAGGAGCACCCTTCAATCTGTGGTGCCTCTCCATTTTTTATCATTTTCAAAATATACATAACTTGAAGGCTTTAACTTGGTATAACAACTAAAAAGGCTTTTACTACACACTAGTATGGTGACTAACATAAACTATCATTGAGATTATTTTTTCTGAAAAAGACATATACAAATATTTAATTTCCAACTCCTAAATTGTAAGCATCATTTCCTCTAATTAGTTTTGTCAAAATAATCTTACATCTAAACATAAAATCATTTCTGTTAGATTTTAAAAAACAAACAAATAAACACAAAATGGGTGCACCACATTTTCAAACAGTCAAAGAAGCTACTAAAAGAAAAGTTCAAGATGTTGTTAACAGTTTGCCTTATGCTGCATACTAAAATTTGATCTCCTTGTAAGCAAATAGCAACATCATTTTAGGTGAAGATAATACTAAATCTAAAGGACTAAACAAAAAATAGAAAATCAAATAAAAAAATTCTGCACGCTTATCAGAAAAGAAGTCAAAACACTGTGATAAGATCAACAGAGAACTTGACTCAGTTGCAACAGTTTCATTTAATTGATTTGTGACCAACAGAAGTTTTTGGAATAAAGATGAAGAAGTGAAAAACTTCTTCGGATAAAAAGACATATGCATAATTATTGGATTTTATGCATCCACATCAAGGAGAGGACACAACACTAGTTCAAAGAAACTAAACCAAAAAGACAGACAAAAATCGCAACCATTCAAAAGATCTATACATTGAAAATAAGCCTGCCTATATGGATAATAGATGATGGCATCTAAGAAAGTACAATAATCGGTTGATATTTCTCAAAATCCATCATTCAAGAGAAATAATTCCAACATTTAAACCCCCCCCCCAAAAAAAAAGAAACGAGAGAGAGAGAGAGAGAGATTACATTGCACATCTACCAATACAGAATAGTTTGCTACTGTTACTATCCATATTAATTTCTGGCATTGCCCTTGCAATTCCAACAAGGCTCAAGCTTCTCCTTTCATTTGAATATTCAGTTGATCACTTATCGCAACTTAATCAAACAAAAAGTTAAAATTCTGGAGAAGATGTATCAATTCTTTTCAGGAAGTAAAATATATGAACAATAATTGAACATAAAACTATGTATCAATGAGAACACTTAGGTGTAAAAGCATACTTGAGTCCACAATGAGGTAATTTGTCTTCCTCCTCAAGTCTACATTGCCAACTCCAGCAAGTAAAAATCCAGTGATAGTGTCCTACATAGACAGTAAGTCATGAGAATAATTTCACTCTACTAACCATAACAGAAAGAATATCTAACTTCCTGATGTAGAAACCACAGTTTAAAGCATCATTCCACAGTATCCCCTTGTGTATTCTATGTCAAGAATAGTGTGAATTTCCCTAATGAAGCACCCTTCCCATTAACACCAATACAGTCAAAAGATGTTTCCATCCCAGGAATGTACTTGTAATTGTTTGGAAATAGCAAAAGCAAACCCACGATCAACCACATCCCATCCCATTCTTTACATTTGTCTACCTACATAAATATCTATGATGCATCTGCAACTACTTCAAGAATCATTTCAAGTTGTACCGAGACAATTAACTTGTATTGGAGTAGGAACCTTGGAGTGATTATAAAAAAAAAAAAAAGAAAACACGGAAATTGGTGAATGAAGAATTTCTTTTGATTGTTATGACAATAAATATGAAAACAAAATCAGGCTTTAATAATTCTCTAATGAACATAACAAAAAAACACGTCTCACTCCATCCTCTTCAAAATATGTTAGAAAATAGTACCCACAGAAAGAGGAAAAAATTAAAAAAGCAAAAGATCTCTTGCTGCAGTGTTAAATTGACCATGCACCATTATCCATACCTCTTACTTCATACACTAGTAACTTATTACGAAACATAAATTCCTTGGTACAAATTCATAACACTTGAACCAACATGTGATTCACTAAATAGGCCATGATCGCTGTAACCTCCAAGCCCATAAGAATATACAAAAGGGTATGCACTAAATGTCATCAAATTTAGTAGATACTATCCAATGTTAAGAAATATGGCAACATGTGAACAAATCCAATACAAAAAAAAATGTGATGGACCTTCCAACTTCAAAAGACAGAAAGAAAAAGTTCCATAAACAAAAAATTTCTGCAAAGGGCACGATAGAAAGGTCAATTAATAAAGAAGGCACCATTTTTGTGCTTTTTATGAGAAATGGGTAGATGATTTACTGAAAAATGCACACATATGAACCCCAAAAGAGTCTTCATTTTGTTACAAAGTCAGTATATACAGCATTTAGAAATAGCCAAAATTATACTGCCCTTATTAATTAAGGATCCAAGCCCACCCTTTTCACAAATTTTCCCAGCTATGGATAACAGATTAAAAATGCAGTCTTTACTGCAGAACAAAAAAAAAAAAAATTCAACACATATGCTTCCTAGTACACAAATCAAAACACTGAATTAGATTAAACAGTCATAAGTGAGGTCGATAAAAAACCCTTTTCAGCATCAGAGACAAAAATTGCTCTATCCTTGAAAATCAATTCAAACTTCAAAGATGCCCTCCAACGTATCACAATCAATATGCTGCATAGAGTTTTATTATCTAAATAATGATGAATTCAAAATCTTTTACCTCATCAGCAATCATAGCGATGAAGGCTGAGTTCATAGTGCGAACTGGAGCTCGGCCGGCCATCCTGAAACCAATAAACAAGTAAACATAAGAAATCCGCATCCAATTCATAAAGGGAAAAAAATGAAAGATCTGGGTATCAAAGAAAGAAAGAGAGACCTAACTGGTAAATGGGTTTTTGAGCGGCAACAGGAGGAAGGTGAAGGTGGCTGTTCGGGGACTGCCGGAGATGGTGGTAGTTGCGTCGTCGGGTGGTGGTTGAGGGTGCTCTAGCACGGTGGGAGGAGAGCGCAAATGATGACAGATCTGTTTTGTGTTGGATTTTGGGTAATTGCGTTTTACCCCCTTAAATATTTAGTGAGTAGCAATTGAGCTGCTAAACTCTGGGGGTGCCGGTAAAAGGGTTTGTGATTCTAAAACTTTTGAAGGATTTTCAAATGGAAACTTATTGAACTAACCTCTTTTTTTTTTTTTATTTATTTATTTATAAGAACTGCTACCTGCATTTCAGAAAACTCCGCACCAAACAAGAAAACAAGAATTTGGTAGTAGGTGTCTGAAGAATGGTAGATACAATACATGTGAGTAAAGCAAGTAGCAGATTTTATATAGAAGAAAAGTACAGTTGTTTATGGAAAGATTAAAAAAAAATCAGCACCGGAGAATTTTCCTGACTTAGAGGGTTGGAGTAATAGCATAGAAGATTTTGGAATGAAATCTTAATTTTATGAATCCTCATATGCTAATCATTTGGGAGGCTTCGGCTAATTGCCAGATTTGAGTCTTATAACAAAAAGAAATAACAACAATTTTGAAGTGTTTGACTAAATCATTTATCTCTCAAGGTCAATAATTGACAAATACTCCAAATTACTGATTTATGAGGTCTTACCATGTGGTGAATCCCAAGATCATCTAATTTTTCATTGTCAATTTTCTAAGACTACATAATAATTATCTCCTATTAAGTGGGATAACCTCCATCTTCCTCACTTTGTTGGTCTTGGCGGTTAAAGCCAACTGAAGTTGGTAGGCAACAGTTTGCTAGATCAAATATCTTTCATAGCCTAAGTACCATAGGACGTCTGTACAAAGGTTGCTGGATATCAAAATTGGATGGTAGTATCTTTTGCAGCTCAAAAGTTCCAGTGGAGATGCTTGAACCAGGGTCTTCCTATGAATGAAGTGATTTTCAGCAGAACAGAACTGGGAAGGGTGAACCATGGTGCAAACATTGTGAATAGAGAAGAGGAGACCCTGGAGTATGTGTTACTGCTTTGCCACAAAGCTGAGGAAATTTGCACTAGTTCATTGGGATGGGTCGAGCGAAAAGAGGGTTGTTTACTTTTGGGATTGGATAGAGGGTGCTAAATAGAGAGTGGATCGATATTCTCATATATATCACACTCACAGTTTATTTGCTATGGGCCATCCGGAAAGAGATGAACAACCTGCAGTTTATTGGAAAAAGAATGGACTTTGTAGATGTTGTACAAAGTGCATGGCTGGGGTGGGATGAATATGACAGGTTCTCAGAAGGGAAAAGGACTGGGACCAGCAACTGGAGAAGGATGAACTCTACCAAGCATGGGCGCTGCCAGAGGATACTGGTGCTTCACCCGAGTTGGAACTAGCAATTGCTATTAGATTGCATCTTAGTGAAGCTTGCGAGCAAAGGCTGGAGCTGAAGTTCAAGTCATGATTGACAACAGAAACCTGCTGGACAAAATCTCAAGTACTGCTGTCAATGATGCAAATGTAAGCTACAATACTAGAGGGCCTGAATCACACCTAAAGCAAATGTTTGCGAGGAGCTGCTCGTTCAAGAGAAGAATAGAAGATAAGAATAGTAATAGTAAAGTTAATAGACTAGCTCTAGTTGCAGGCTGTTTACTGAATGAATCCATTGGAAGCTATGCTTTCCAGTGCTGTGGTTAGCACAAAATGTTGATATTAATCGCATTGACTTGCCATTGATGATGACTGGACACTAGTTTAGATTACACAGATACCTCTCGTAAGTCTGATTGTAGAAATGGAATTGTTGATGTTTTCATGAGGATATAAAATTGTTCTTGCAGCAGTAGCACGAAATTGTTATGGTAGTATGTTAAGACTCTTACTTTGGTCCAATCATGGAATCCAAATTGAAGATTGCAGAAGCAGTTGTTTGTATGATTTCAAGCTCATAAACAGAATTGGTATCTAATAGGTTTATTCAATGGCTAGTAATGCATATTTTCTTGCTGCTCTTTTATCTTCTTGCAGATTCGCATGGATTAGAAGACAAGGTAATTGGGTAAGGCATGTAGTGGAAAATAGGGCAAAGAACCTGAGCGGCCATTAAACTATTATCAAGATCATGTTTTGGCCATCGAACTATTTTTCGTCAATAATTAACCACTAAACAACTTAATCAGTAAATCCGTGCCCATTTCATCATAATGACTCTTAATTTCTGAAATTAGCATTACACGTGGCAAATCATAGGGCAATTTTGTCCAACAATTTCCTGGTCGTTCACTTACATTAAACCCATCAACTGAAAAGAAAAAAAGCAGAACGTGGGGCCACCTTCACCCTCGATAGCCCTGTAATCAATCGATACATCTACTTCTTGTTGGCTGCCTCCAATATTAGCTCTGGTGGTGTAATGTAATCTTTTATTGTTGTCATAAATGTGCTCTCTTCTCAAAACCATTACCTGGTTTCTGATCTCGACAGCCGCCGTCTCCTTAGGAGTTGGCCTAGCACTGGCAGCGCCTCCTCCGCTTCCAGCGATGCTCCTTAGGAGTTGGCATAGCGGTAGCAGCTCCTCCCCAACAAGGAGCGGTATTTCTCCCCCGATGAAAATTGCGACTTAATAACCGGATGCGGGGTCGGGTCTCGATCCGAATTTGGCCCGGGAAAGACCCAGAACACCCGAGCAATAGTAGAGCTTGTATTTGGAAGACCAACAAGTGTTTTGGATCCTCATTTCTTCCAGAAAGTAAAGCGCGGATTGAATTGAAGGTGGAAGGAAGGGGACGGTGGAAAAGAAAGGTGGTGGTTGTCGAGGAGGAGGTAGATGTGGAGGGAACAAGTGCCGAATGGGCTTTTGGACCAGGTGAGACCAAAGAGGCCTTGTTGAGTTTGATAGAGGGAGGTGGTGAGATTAGGATTGGCAGAAAGGACCGTCTTGGCGGCGGCGGCGGTGCGGAAGCATGAAGGGAAGGAAAAAGAATGGTGGTCGGGATGGGGCATGTTTAATGTAAGTAAACGGTCAATAAATTGTTGGACAAAATTATCCCTGTGATTTGCCACGTGTAGTGCTAATTTCAGAAATTAAGAGCTATTACCGATGAAATGGGCACGAATTTACTGATTAAGTTATTTAGTGGTCAATTGTTGATGAAAAATAATTCGATGGCCAAAACATGATCCTGACAATAGTTTAATGGCCGCTCAGGTTCTTTGCCCTGAAAAATAATGCTACAAACTTTTTATCAATTGTTCAAGCAGCTAGCAGGACCCCTTCCCCCCTTGTGGCATTTTAATGAATAAGTCTGTTGCCCATGATCGATCTATAAAAGCTTAATATATATATATATTTATCAGTTTGTAAAAGCACATTTAAATAGCTCTTCTTCTTCTTTTTTTTTTTTTTTCTAAATCTAGAGTTTGTCCCATTGATCCTAATTAGTAGGGCAATTAGGCACTCAATAAACTTTTGCAACGCAAGTTTAGAGGGTTCTAATACTCTTTTGCTTGAGCGGCTTGACTTAATTACTAAAAGTCAATATACAGTAGCAACTCATAATTAATCACTTTCACCCTCTTTCATTTTTGTTAATATAATCCAATTTCGTGCTCTAATTCCTCTGAATGAAATAAATAAGGAACAAGGTAAAATACAAAGGTGAAACGAGCATCCCGTAGCATCCCATACCTAAAAGGTACCAAGACAAAATTAAAATTTTCGTAAAATGCAACCCTAATAGAACATTTCTTTCTTCTTTTTAGATTCGAAAATACGATCTTTTATGAGAAAGTCGTCCGTCTTTACTAACGGAACCAACTTGTGTTTGCAAATATTTACATCGGTACGGTGTTGTAATTCTCCGAAATGCCTTGAAATTACAAAACTGCCCTTTTCACTAAGGCAAATTATAACTGGGAAATTTATCAAATTGGTCCCTACCATTTGCCAAAAACACTTTTTTAGTCCCTAACATATAAAATCAGCCAAAATGATCCTTAACATTTAAATTATGAGCCAATTTGGTCCTATTGCTCTTTTTGCTCATTTCTCCGACTAAAAATAGCACGCCCCCCTCACGTGGTCATATTTTTAGGGGCAAAATCGGAAAACATATTTCATTACCGGTTGAAGGTAAAAGGATAGGGGACCACCAGCAAAATACACATTTCACCTTTGGCCCTAAAATTATAGTTTGAAGAAACCCTAATTGCATCCCCAAATTAACAAGCATAACTTGGAAATGTACTACCGATGATGACGACGACAAACCTGTAAGGTGTGATTGATAAAAGATTGAAGGTTTGGCCAGAAAATAGTGAAGAAAATCTTCGAAAAGATGCAGAATGAATCGGGAAAATGGGACTTCACAAAGGGCTATGGTAAGTTTTTTTTTTACCAATGTGGTTAGCAATTGTTGACGAATCTTGCTTAGGACTGTATTTTATGTTAATTAATTGAAGATTGTTCATTATTTTACTTAGTTTTGCTGTGGTCCCAAATTTTTATTTAGTTTTGTTGTGGTCCCCATTTTTTTTATGAAAGGCTCCACTTTTCTGTCATGGTCCAAAGTAATTGTCGTTTTAATGGCTGACAGGGGCCAATGAGATGCATTTTTCTATTCGTATACATCTTGGAGGTGAACTTGGAGATACAGGAAATAGAGACTATGTAGGGGGTTCGGTTGACATAGTCGATGGTTGTAATCCAGAAAAATGGTCTCTGTGTAAGTTGGATGAAGTAGCTAATAAACTTGGATTTGAGCCTTATACAGTGGGTTACTACTACCTGATTCCTGGTAGGAATATGGCAGATGGATCAGTGTATATGTTGCAAGAGGATGATGCTGCTGAATTGGCTAAATTAGGGAGTATGTATGGGTTAGTTGATGTGTTCTTCATTCATCGAAGAACATATAATTTGCCTTATTTTGCTGTTGATGAAGAAGGAAGAAGGCATGATAGTAACAGAAATAATGAAGAATCTGTACGTGTGGTCACACCAGAGAGTGTTCAAGAAGAATCTGTACATGTGGCCACACCAACACCAGCTACTGATGGTGGTTTTCAAGACTCTAACATGGATGGAGGAACTCCTTCACGTACTGGTAAGAGGATGAAACAGATTGTGAAGAAGAGAACTTCACCTGCAAAAAGATTGAA